CTTCTCTTGCCCCGTTTTCCCTTTTGCCATTTTTGTCTTGGCTATCTCATGGTTTTGTGTCTCCAACCTAGATTCAGGTTATGCCTTTCTCAAGGTCCCTTCCTTGATTTGGGGATTGATTTGTGATTTGGTTTTGGATTGGGGTTGTTGGTGGTTCGGAGCCACTTCTGTCAAACTGATTCGGTTTAATGATACTCTCTTCGACTTCTTTTGCTGCATCGGCGCCTTTTGTGCTCGGATCTATTGCATCAATGCCTTCTATGCTCATATCTATTGTAGCGCTGATTTGGAATCTTGTTGTTGCAAGCCTTAGGCGAGCACATCTGGGGGTTACATGGCCTAGGCCGCTTTATTTTGGTGGTCACGCCACTTGAGTTCTTCAAATCTGGAAACTTCAATGCCTGTGTTTCCAACGTTTGTAGCCCTCAGTTTGACCTGTGCGTGTTGCATACCCAATTTGTGCAGAGTCACGGCTGGTAGTCTTTGCCTGAGTATCTTATCCTTCCATTGTTTTGTGTCGTGTTGTGGTCTTCTTTCTCGGAGTAGTTAATTAAATTTAATTTAGTTTAGTTCAGTTTAGTTTAGTCTTGTCTAATTAAGTTCTATTATCTCGTATATCGAGTGTTGTGGCCACGATGTAACGTTGGCTGTATTGATTTTTGCTTTAACCAATGAGTTATGTGGTCTCGTCTACTACCGATGACTTTATGTGGTCTCGCTTCTGTGAAGACTTTATGTGGTCTCACTATTCGGCGGTGACCGTTTGTAATCGCCAATACAAACCTGTTATATCTATCGTTTTGTGACAGGTTTGTATGGGTGGTGTGTGAAGTTCTCGTACATCTGGTAGCTGTTTAGGGATTTACTATTGTTGTTTTGTTTGTGCAAATTCACCTCCATATCATTTTCTTGGTCACTAGAATATTGTACCCAATTGGCACCTTTGTATTGTTTGGGATGATCACTATTCTAAAAATCCCCGTCTAGCGCCACCTAGGCGCTAGGCAGCAGGCCATTGCCCTGATTAAGGCCTAGGATTTTGAAAATTAAGAAAGGGCACCTAGACCTGCTGAGGTGTCTGCAGAGATCGCCTAGGCACCCGCCCAAACCTGCCTAGGCACCCGCTTAGGTTGCGACTCACGTAGACAAAGAATAGATAACTTTCATTTTGCATTTTATTTTTTTCCATAAATTGTAAGAGACTTCTTGCATACTTAAGGTATCGTTTGGTATGCAGACGGGACAGGACGGAACAGAATGGGACGGGACGGGACGGGACGGGACGGGACAGGACGGAACGGAACGGAGCGGGAGTAAAGATGCCCTCGGATGGAAACAAGGAGGAAGAAGAAGGAGATGGAGAGGTTATAATTTTGTGTTCCACGGATGTGGAACGAGTCGTTCCAGAGGGTGAGGTGGAATGAAAATTCACCCAAAACTCGTCCCGTGGAACAGCTCGTTCCACCCGTTTTAGGTGCACCAAACATGCGACAGAACGCCTTGTCCCACTCTGTTCCATCCCGTCCCACGTACCAAACGGTACCTAAATGAAAACACATCATGTATGTTCCAATACTTCATAATACATATGTCATTCTATTTTGTAGTTTATGATGAAATTATATATATTTAAAGTATAAACAGACACTTATTTACACGAAATATAATAGATTTACTTAAATCCACTTAGTCCGCCTAGGCACTAGGCCACAGCCCGCCGCCCAACTAGCGCCTAGTGTCTTTTAGAACCTTGGGGATGATTAATGAAATATCAAATATCGTTGCTTGCCAAAAAAACTATCAACCACCTGACAATCAAAAGTGAAACAAACATGCTACACCTTATCACATGTTGTATATCACATCTGTACCATTTTTTAAATAGAGCTCGAACGTACTTGGATTGATGGATATCAGTTCTATTAAAAAGAGGTGATTCAAATATAGTATACAAAATGTGGTATGTGTAGCATTACTAAAAAAAAAAAAAAAAATGAAAACACCACAATGCAAATTGTGATACATCTCCAATGAAATATCAAAATATTTTGTAATCCGGAACACACTGGTTGAAGAAAAAAGAAAAAATCCTAAGAAGAAATGAGAATCCCCACCTCCTATCTTGCAATTTTGTTCCTATATATCTAATAGGTTTTCAACTTTTTATTAAACTTTCATAAAATCCTTACTTATAACTTTAAAAACTCAAATATTTACAAAAACCAATAGTGAAATAAAATTCCCGAGCACCACACAAACCCATCACCGCCCGTCGCTCCTCCTTACTTCCGGCAAAGCTTCCTTTCGCTCTCTCTTCAAGTTCCGCACTAGATCGTGATCAGTTCAACACGTCAAGGAACATATATTTTATCAAAATTTGGTATTTGGGATGCAAAAGAGGATATCTAATCAATGCTTCGTCGGAGGATATCCGTAAAGAAGAAGATAGAGATAAAAGGAGAAAAAAATGAGCTTCGCCGGCGGTGAGCAATTGCAGCCGACTTGAATGGTGGGAAAAATTGGTTTTGGTTGCTGCGGGGCTAGGGTTGTTGCGGAGGTTGCTGTTGTTTTTTGTTGTTTGTTAAAATTTCTGTTTTATTGCATTATTTAATTATATAAAAACTTAATAGTGTTAGATTCAAAGTTAAGTCGAATAATATGTGTCAAAAAACTAAAAAAGAGTCACGAAGGAGCCATGAAATTAGGGACAACATAACTGCTGCCAATGTCCGCCAATGTCCTAGTGGGTTGGTACATCCTCAAATTAGGATCACAAGACATACCAAATGTATGGCATGTAATAAATAAAATATCTTACTTATTTTAAAAGCAACGGTCTTCAAATAGCAACTTTTAAAGCAGTGTGTAGGTTGCTTTTAAAAGTTGTTTTAATGAAAAACTGAGTTGAGCTTTTAATAAATATTTTCAATGTTGTAATACCTTCATTAATTGTTTGAAATGACATATTTATACCCTTCTACACACATTTTATCTCTTAGATAATAAAGTGACCACTACCACCTCCGACCATCACTGTTGCCATCGCCGCCACCATAACCATAGCCTCCACTATTGTGACCACAACAACCGTCACTACCACCATTGTCACCACTACGCCGCCACCACCACCATAACCATAACTGCCACCACCACCATAACCATAACCATAACTGCCACCACTGTCACCACAACCACATCCCGCCACTACCACCATTGTCACCACCATCATGACCGCCACCTCCACCACTAATACCATCACCACAACCGCAACTGTAACCGCCACCACTGCCACCACAACCGCAACCGCGCCGCCATTGCAACCACCACCATTACCACTGTCCCCACCCTTGTTGTCGTAACCTGCACTCATACTACTATGTCCATTTTGTCATTGTATATAATTATGTCACTTGTGCCATCTAGTACTACGGTCTAGTGGTATTCTTCTTCTATTCCTCTTCACTTGTAAGTGAGAGGTCTTTGATTCGATTCTCACCAAATGCGAATTTCAACCACATTATTGCTAGCCCATTGTGAGGCTAAGCCCACCCCTCCCCCATAGTGTAGATAATACTGTTTGTTCAAAAATAGAATTATATCACTTGTACATTAAAATTTACCAAACGCTTTTACACTGCTTTTTAAACGCACAATACTTTTATAGTATAGTTAATCAAACACTCATCTGCTTTACTTTACAGTTGATTATTCTTAAAGCACAACATAACTAATTTGTTTTTTCTTTTCAAAAGCAAAGCAATCCTAAACTGGCCCTAAATGGTGTAACATCCACATTATTGCTAGCTTGTTGTAAAACTTAGCTCATTCCCCCATCATTATTGTAAATAATATCATTTGTTAAAAAAAATTGATGTAACATTCATCTGCTAGATTTTAAAAATTATGAAATATTAATATAAGAACTAATCCATTAAATATAATGATAATTTGTGTAATTTTATATGAGAAATACTAAGGGAACTATTCTTAAAATTAGGACTCATCATGGACACTACTCTATCCCTAACATTGTTCTAAAAATTCCCGTCTAGGCAGCTGGCCACTACCCTGATAGTCTTTATGCGTTTGAAAGTTAAGAAAGTGCACATAGACCTGCTTAGGCGTCCACCTAGCCCGCCAAGGTTGCGACTCTCACTTATACTAAAAATCGATAACTTTCATTTTGGGTTTTAATTTTTCAATAAAATGTCAGACTTAATAAATACTTAGATGAATACTCATTATTTGCTTGTTCCTTATGTTTTTAATATGTTCTAATACTTTATAAGTAATATGTCGTTTTATTTTGTAATTTAGATATCCCAATAAAATTGTGTGTGTGTGTTTTTTCTAAGTATAACTAGATTTATTTCTACAATATATAATAAATTTACTTAAATTTGCCTAACCTTTAGACTCGGACTCGCTGCATAACTATCACCTAATATCTTTTATAACCTTGATCCATAATCGTAAAAATGGCCGGACCCAAAAAAAAGGAACTATGATTCTTTTCCTTGCTCTTTCCGTCCTCTTCCATTCTCTCCTCTCACATTATCTTATTTTGTTTTTCTCTTGCTATAAAAAATTAATATAAAATGTTAATGTGACTTAACCGTGACCGTTCAAATAGACGAAGAAGGAAGAGAAGGAGAAAAAAGAGAGAAGATAATCTAACTCCGAAAAAAAGCCAGCCCATTATTGTGAGTACGAGATTTCATTCCAGGCGAGGTCATTAATTTCAACTGGAACTCCCAGAATCCAAAATCCAGTTCCACGCCCCCAAATCTGATTGGCTGCAACTCCGCCAAAGCAGATGATATCGGCACAGTAAAAACTAAAAAGTCCATAATACCCTCCGTGGTCCTCTCCAATACCAACACCACGTCACAAAAAGACAAAAGCACCCCAAAACTGGACCCCACAACGCCTCCCCGCCAACCCAAAAAAGCACCAAAAAGAAGAAAAAGGTGACAAAAAAGATTCCAATCCGAAAAAACTAGCTCGCTGTAATTTTTTTCACTTCTCCGCCCAGTCACTTTCCCTCACCTTCCCATCACATTTTCCTTCTCCCCAAACGCTACCCACATCCCCTCCAATTTCCACTTTTTCCACTCCTCCTCCATTTTTCTCCGATCCATTTCCGAGCTCGATTCTGCCGTCAAAATGCCTTCCGGCGCCGACGACGGCGCCCAGTACTCGTTTGCGATAGAGTACAAGGGTCCTGCGGTCAGTTACGATCTTCCTCGGGCGGTTCCGATCAACGTCGACAGAATTCCAGTGGCGGCGGTGGTCGGAGGGGTTGCGCTGCCCGAGAAGCTCACCTTGCCGGTGGTCCAGCCGGTGCTTGCGCCCGCAACGTTCTCTAAAGAGCTCAAGACGTCGAACTCGACGGTGTCTCCGACTTCCGTTTTTGATCGGGGCAGCGAGGATTACACGAAGGAGTTGGAAGGTTCTGAATCGACTGTTTCACCGACGTCGATGATTGGATTTGAGGAGACTGGTGTGGAGAGTGTTGCTGGGTGTGCGTTGTCCCGTGAATTGAGCAGCTCCGGCCCGTCGGAGTTTTCAAACGGGTTGAATAACAGGTCGGGTGAGTTTTCCGATGTGATTGGTGACGGGAAGGAGAGTGTGGACTTCAACAGTGATTCGAATCGGCCAGAACCTGAGCTGGACTGGGTCTCCACGGAGTCGGTTTTGAGTTTGGACTATCCGTCGTCTCGTGTTTCATCCAGTAAGGCTTTGGATTATGATGCACGGCGGCCGCCGGTGGTGACTTTTCGGGACATTGAGTCGGATGATGGGGCTGATGAAGACGAGGCTGAGGTTGTGCAGGCGAAGCGGGAGCCTCAGAGCAAAGGGAAGAAGAAGGCGTGCTACCGATGTTTGAAGGGGACGAGGTTTACTGAGAAGGAGGTTTGCATTGTTTGTGATGCTAAGTATTGTAGTAGTTGTGTGCTTAGAGCAATGGGATCAATGCCCGAAGGTCGAAAATGTGTGACTTGTATTGGGTTTCCAATTGATGAGTCGAAAAGAGGGAGCTTGGGGAAGTGCTCTAGAATGCTCAAGCGGCTGTTGAATGATTTGGAGGTTCGACAGGTGATGAAATCCGAAAAGTTTTGTGAGGCAAATCAGCTACCCCCGGATTATATTTGTGTTAATGGACAGCCTCTTTGTCACGAGGAGCTGGTTCTATTACAAACCTGCCCTATTCCGCCGAAGAAATTAAAACCAGGAAACTATTGGTATGATAAAGTTTCTGGTCTTTGGGGAAAGGTGAATATGGTTAACTTAGATTTATTTTGTTGTTTCTTGTTGTTTCCTCAGTGTGCTAACACGCTTGTGAAATTTCGCGGTGTTGTCGAATTTTAACAGGAAGGGCAGAAGCCTTCCAAGATCATTAGTCCCCATCTCAGTGTTGGGGGTCCCATCAAGGCAAATGCTAGCAATGGGAACACACAGGTTTACATAAATGGCCGGGAAATTACCAAAGTCGAGCTTCGGATGTTGCAGGTTGGATGGAATTGCTAGGCATATGAAATTGTTGCTGCAGGTTGCAGCTGGTTAATATGCAGGGTTCATTAACACCTTTTGTTGAACATTGCAGTTGGCTGGGGTTCAATGTGCTGGTAACCCACATTTTTGGGTGAACGAGGATGGGTCATACCAAGAGGAGGGCCAGAAAAATACTAAAGGATACATATGGGGCAAGGTATGGATTCGAGAATACTTGCATTCTTATGTTTCGTTTGCTTGTTTAAGTTTTCATGTATATTAAACTACTATTATTCACTTTTTCAGGCTGGAACAAAGCTTGTCTGTGCTGCCTTGTCACTACCAGTCCCTTCTAAATCTTCAACTCCTTGTGGAAAATCCTTCAACTATGTGGGTAGTAGAGTTGTCCCTGATTACATTGAGCGGAGAATTCTTCAGAAGATTCTTTTAGTTGGATGTAATGGTTCCGGAACAAGTACTATATTTAAACAGGTGATTGATTTTATCTGAAATTATTTTTCCTTCGTATCATTTCTATTCTGTTTATGCAAAGATGACTGATCTATTGTAAATTCCGAGGCTGAATGAACAATTGATGTTTCAAGAGATAGATCATATCTCCGCATCAACCTATGTGTATCACATATATGTAGGAACTAGAGGTCTGGTTCCTAATCCTAATGATTTGTGGATGCTGTAATAGCAAAAACCTTCTTGGTGTATAATTAATTACATTTCTTGCTTGCTTCTTAAAGATCTAGTTTTTGTATTGACCTCAAATGAGAAAACAAGTTCTAGTTCAAGCTTTCTGCCTTATAAGTTATATGCAGTTGATATTGTTGAAGTGTACTTGCTAAAAATTGTATTGTTAATCTAAATGGGATTTTGAATTGATTTATTGCATGCATATAAGCACACTTACTAGAAAAGAATAGTCAATGAGTCTTTGAATTAAGATGGCTTGACTGGGATGGACTTCTTAGCCAACAAGTTTGTACCGAGTTTTCAGTTCTAAGTTGTATCTGGTATTTCAGAACATAATTCTTATTCTCTGCCAAATATAAACCCTAACCATTCACATATGAATGTTTGTTCCAGGCCAAGATTCTATATAAAGCTGTCCCCTTCTTGGAGGATGAGCGTGAAAACATCAAATGTAAAATACAGAGTAATGTGTATGGTTATCTTGGTATACTTCTTGAGGGCCGTGAGCGTTTTGAAGAGGAATGTTTGGATGGAATGAGGAAGAAATGTTCTTCCAGTCAAACAGATGCCAATGGTATGAGTCTATATAATTGTATAACTTTTTCCATATCTTCTTTGACTCGATACATGTGTGCTTGTGCATAACCTCTGTTCATGTTGTTCAGAATGGGAAATTGAATTATATACAGGAATGGCAATAGATATCAATTTGTACAAGATATTTATATCAAACAAGTTACAAAAGTTATGTAGGACTTGGTATTTGACAGAAGATTATTAATTAATGTAACTTCTTATGCTTCAGCTCTCCTTTTGCATTGATTGATTAGCTATGCATATTATAATTACACTAGTCAGGTTGGTTAGTCTGCATCGCACTTGGAGAGGGTTTCATTGAGAATAACCATGTTGAAATTGATATATTGCTTAGAGAAATTGTGTTCTGGTTAACAACAGGGAACAATGACAAAACTCTGTACTCTGTTGGTCCGAGGCTGAAAGCGTTCTCTGATTGGCTTCTCAAGACTATGGTGTCAGGCAATCTGGAAGCCATTTTTCCAGCTGCTACTCGTGAATATGCACCATTAGTCGAGGAATTGTGGAATGATTCAGCCATTCAGGCCACATACACGCGGAGAAGGGAATTGGAAATGCTACCTAGTGTTGCTACTTATTTCCTAGAGAGGGTAAGTTCTGTGTCCTCTGTTTAACTCTTGTAAATTGTTTGCATGGTACTGAATACTGGTCGATAGTAATCATAGTACTATCTTTTGCTTAATCTAATGGACCCGGTCTTCATTCACTTTTCAGGCTGTTGACATTTTAAGAATAGACTACGAGCCCACAGATCTAGACATCCTATATGCTGAAGGTGTCACTTCATCTAATGGGCTTGCTTGTGTGGACTTCTCATTTCCCAACTCAGAATCTGAAGATACCATCAATACTAGTAATCAGCATGACTCTTTGCTTAGGTACGTTCTCCTGTATATTGCACAGTCAAGTGGATCTGAGCTGCTTGTTAATATTAATCATAATCGCTAAAGCTCACGTGCGGATAAGTGTGGTAAAAATTATGCAAGCAAATAGATTAGATGCTTGGAAAACTGAAGTTATTAAAGCTAACAGTGTAACATAGATATATGCTGTTTGTTTCCCTGGTACTGTCGAACTTGAGTTGACGGCTAATTCTCAGTTTTACGGGTCACTGAGACATACTCCTTTCTTGCTTTCAGGGGTTTGACTGGTGATTAACCTTTCTTTTATTTCGTTGCTTTATAGGTACGAACTTATTAGAGTAAATGCAAGAGGACTTGGAGAAAACTGTAAATGGTTAGAGATGTTTGAAGATGTTGGAATGGTCATATTCTGCGTGTCCTTGAGCGACTACGATCAGTTCTCTGCTGATGGGAATGGGTATTTCAATAACAAGATGTTGCTGGCCAGGACTTTCTTTGAAAGCATCGTTGCTCATCCAACCTTTGAACAGATGGACTTCCTCTTGATTCTAAACAAGTTTGATTTATTTGAGGATAAGGTAGAACGGGTACCGTTAAATCAGTGTGAGTGGTTTGAAGATTTTCGTCCAGTGATGAGTCGTCATCGCTCAAGTAGCAACATGAACAGCAACAACATTAACAGCAGTCCCTCATTGGGTCATTTAGGAGCTCACTACATTGCAGCAAAGTTCAAGAGGTTCTATTCTTCTCTAACCGGGAAGAAATTGTACGTTTCCGTGGTGAAAGGATTGCAGCCGGATAGTGTCGATGCAGCTCTTAAATATTCGAGGGAGATTTTAAAATGGGATGAAGAGAGGGCCAATTTTGGCTTTGATTATTCGGTCTATAGCACCGAAGCAAGCTCCTTTTCAAATTGATGTCAAAACCGAAAAGGCTTGTAAATCCAGTTATACATTTGTGTGACATTGATCAATTCCACTGTAAATATAATGGTTTGTATATGAGCAATAGAAAGATCGTTGCCTTTCACCTGCCCTGCAGCTTCCAAGATTTTCAAGTGAGAAGAAAAGGAACTGATAAATAACCAATACAGATGCGAGTTTGTTCTACTTTTCGTTCATCCCCCGCCCTACATCTAATGCACAAATCGAAGTAAAACAATCCGTTACAAAATAGTTACAATCGAGTTTCCGTGTAATCCCCAAAATTCTCCATACCACGAAGGAGAAACCACCGAAGGCCAAGATAGGGAAAAAACAAGGATCTATGATACACGGAATCTTCAGTCATCTACACAACTGTACCGAACTTGTTCTTGCGTGCTCAATAATATATTTTTAGCAGCCCAACCCAACGACACAATTTGTTGGGTCAACAACAACACGTTCATATTGCCTTGTGCACGGCCAATTTAGCCCTATTTTCTTTTAAAAAAAGTGAACATGAAAAAAAGTTAGGATATTTTAGATGTTTGATAAACGCTTAAAATCAGTTTTTTTTTCAAAGTTATGAATGAAAAAAAAGTTAAAAGCTAAAAGCAAAAAAAGGCAGCTTCAAAAAATCGGCTTATTTCAACAAAACACGGGTGAACAGTAACAAGTTAATGAACTTTTCAATTTTCCAATCCTACCCTTCCCTTTCTCACCCTGTCTTCCCCATTTTTCCCAGAACCCACCTTTGGCTTCCTTTCGAGACTTCTCTCTCACTCTCACTTCCCTTCTCTGTTTCAGAAAAATCCTTCAGGTGTGATGCCATCCCTTAAAAAAAAAAAAAAAAAAAAAACCTTTATATTTTAAGCAAGTCTTTCCTTTTTCCTTGTTCATTTAATTGTTTTCTATTATTATACAAATCCTAAAACTTGACGAAAAGATTGGAGCTTTCAGCTTGCTACGCCAGATCTGAAAGAAGCCATCCTTCCTCCCAGAGATCTCTCTCGTTCTCCAGGTCGCGTTCTTTGGCTCGGCGTCCTTCCTATGGTAAGCTTCTCTTGTCTAAAATTTCGTTGTTTATTTGTTTGGATTTTTAAATTTGGGGATAGGAGAGTAAGTGAAAGAGGGGTGGGAAGAGCGAAGGTTTGTGGAAAAAATTAATTGGGGAACAAATTAGGGTTTGTGGAGGAAACAAGAAAAATTGAGAGAGAAGTAAGAAAAATTGATGGATTCTATCTTGTTCATTATCTCAATTTCTCTGTGAACTGCTCTGAATTGGGTGTGATGTATATCTTGTGCAACCCACATGTCCTCCTGCAAATGCAAATTTTATGGAGCTTCTTGTCATGAGTGGTGCTTGTCGGCTGACTGTGGGTCGGAGGATCCATGAGTATATGATGAAGGTGGGATTAACGGGGAATTCGCAGGTTACGAATGCACAGCTGATCTTGAAGCATGGTGGTGCTGCTAGTGCCATAGCAAGTAAAGCATTGGTGCTTGAGAGTTTGCGAAGTGGGGTGAATCAGCAACAAAACAGTAGGGTGAATTACATGCAATCAAGACTTTGTTCTGTTATGAAATCCTCTGCAAAAGAAATTGCTTTTGATCAGCATTTTCAACATGCACTACAAGGTGGACTTGACAAGCTTGCGGGTGTTATTGGCCTTACTTTTGGTCCTAGGGGAAGGAATGTTGTGAATGAGGGAGTCAAATTTGGCAGAGCTATTGAGTTACCGCACGACGTTGGAACTACCATTGAGCGGTTTTGATGTTGGACAGAGGGCAGTGGTTGCAGTTGAATTGAAAACATGCCTTTTCACAAGGTTTAAAGTCTATAAAAGGAGCTGAGCTCCCTGAATTGTAGTAGATCAGAATTTACAAACAGAAATACAAAACCCAAAAAAATATTGGAGCCCTGCTCCCTTCTAGCCTTCTCCATTTGCCATTTCTATTGCTGCTTGCAGGTTGAATAGGGTCCTGAGATTTGTGATCCTATCATGTGAACTCTGCTTCTGATTTATCTTAGGGTTTAGGTATATATTCTGCAGTGAAAAGGCGTGACCTTGAACCTCCCCTTGCATCCAAGAGTTTGACCTTTTTAGGTTATTACAAATATTGCTCCAACTCTGTTATAACCTTTTTTGTGGTGTCACAAAACAATTTGATTATTTCAGCAACAAAATTGGGATTGCTTGAATCTTACAACTCTTGTAGTTGAGTAAACTAGTAATCCAACATACCATGTACAAAAAAAATATTGAAAACCCAGTACATATCACGTATAGCTTTATAGCAAGGGTTTGTACGTGGTTAATAACATTCACTCATACACCAAGGTCCCGTATTCGAATATCCCTCTTCCCGACGTCCCCATATCGAAAAAAGAGAAACAAATGGCTTAATACCAGTGTGCGTAATTACCCTAACCAAAAGAACGAGAATAAAGAGTTAATTACCTCATGAAACATGGATTGGACTAAAATATTTCAATTGAAGTAGTTTGTCATACAAATTAATATTTAAGATAAAGTTTATAAATAATTTTCTTTTAAAAAAAAAGTATATTTAGTAATTCACTAAGAAAATTAAATTAATGGCACATATAGTATTATATATTTTTTGGTTATTTTACATAGTTACAACTGTTTTACATAAAAATTTATCAAATACTATAATATTGCTTTTTTTTTTTTATTATTTATTTTTATCCAAAAACACTTTTGCAAAACAATTTGCCATTACTGCTTTATTTCATAACTGCTTAATGCATCTCCAGCATCAACCACGGTCTCCCACTTATACTTATTTATAAGAAGGGCCTTGCGGATATAGCATGCCTACATAGCAAATGATCATACAAATGACAAAACATGAGGACCCAGAAGATATTTAATGGTGCAAGCAACACACCAAGTTAATAATGATTCAAAATCCAAGAAAATTCATTTTACCTGCAACAAACCCATGATAACGTCAGCAGTTCCAGCTCCTTCCTCTGTACTTACTTGTGCAGGTGCGGGAACATAACCTAACTCGATCCAATTATTTAGTAGAATTTCGAGTCTATCCTGATTCCTCAACACAAGAACCGCGCAAAAATGAGACAGTGATAGTACACTATCTTTCAGGACATTTCACTTCCTTAGTCCTCTGAAAAAGCAGATGCTAGACTAGCAGTGTAGATGCACCTACTCAACCGTCCAAGTCCATCCTTCGAGACACAATTAAGGGCAGCAGCTGCTGGAAGCGAACGAGAGAACCCAATCCCAATAGCCCGAAACATTGCCTAATATCAGTTCATCCCCACATATAACTAACCATATAAACGAAAATTCATTCATTAAATCTTTGATTCTATCTTCTGACAATTACAATGCTCAAATATTTCACTTATCCTTTTGGAGCTTAACAGAACCAGTTAAATGCTGACGAATGAGAGAACGGTGAGGAGTTGTACATTGCAACAGAGGAAACAAAAGTCCTATTTTTATTTTTTCTTCTTTATCTCTAATCTCCAATATTTGAAATTCAGAAGTCAAGCTTTTTGTCTCAAGCTTCACCAAAAATTTTTGAACTACAAACCCCTCCCAATAAAAAAAAAAGAAAAAAAAAAAAAAGGGAAAAACTAACAGCATAAAAAGGGTTATAATTTGCAAGGGCATTTTGGTACAAAAGCAACTCAGATAATCTAAAGAAAAAAGATAAAAACCTGCGACTTCACAGGAATTGAAATCGAACGTGGTGTTGGAAGAAACTGCGATTTCAGTTTTTGCCTTGGAAGATGAACCTGTTGTTGTTTGAAACTGCTATGAGCAGTTGCCTTTGGTTTATCTCTTTCTTCCGTCAGGCAAAAATTGAATCGTTCAGTTTCTCAGGTATTTTTCTTCACTTTCTTTCTCCTCTCTTTGGTATTTTTGGTGTTTAATTCTTTTTCCTATCATGCGCTTTAATTTCAGCTCCCAAGGAACTCGGTGGCCGACAAAGCCAATGGAGTGGTGGAGCAGAAACCGAACCAGCAACCGATGATGAAGCCCTATTCTTTCCACGAAATCAACCTCAGATGGCAGCGTCACTGGGAGGAAATCGGATTTTTTCGAACCCCCGATGAAATTGACACCTCCAAGCCTAAATACTATCTTCTTGATATGTTCTCATATCCCAGTTCTCTCGAATTTTCACAAACTCTATCCTTTTTTGTTTATTTATTTTAAATTGCAAATGCAAGTGATTGTTTATGTAGAAAATATGAAGACACAGTTTAATTAAAGGGAAAATCAGTTTTTATATATGATTTAGATTAAACATTTGTGCTTTTTTAAAATTTAATTAAAGTGCTTTGACCAATAATCACCTCTAGTTTTTAAAATTAAAATAATTTTTGAATTTATCCCTTTATTTGGATGATGCACTTTTCGTAATTTAGTGGAGATATTAGTAATTAAACTATATTTCTCTTCTTCCAAATATGTTTTTTCGATCCCAATATTTTTTTTTTTTGTGGGTATGCAAACATTTAATTTTTTTTTTCAAATGGTTTTTTCTTTTCCAAATAGTTGATGATCAACATAAAAGCTCCGTGTAATTTTTTCAATTTTTTTGTGAAATTATATTTTTTTTGCTGTTTTTTAAAGTATAGTTGTTGACGAATTATTATTAGGTAAAATACATTACGTGTATATTATTTGTGGGTACGTTTGAATTTACAAAAATCATTACTTGGTACATTTATTTGCAATTGTGGTACATTTGATTTGGTACATATTGTTAATATTGGTACATTATTTTTATTTTGGTATGCTTTATTTTGTACACATTGTGTATTGGTACGTTTATATTATTCTCAATCCTATTTTCTCTTAACATACTAAAAGAAAACCTCATTTCAATACGTTTGATTTTGGGGGATTTAAAAATATTTTAAACTATTTTGGAAAGAAAATATCTTAAATCGTAGATAATTATTGCTAAATTGTAGCATTATTGTAAAAATAAATTGAATCTAACCAGCCTTTTTTTTTTTTTTTTCATTACAATTATCTCTAATGGAGAAGAGTGTAATCAAAAGGTTAGATTATAGGAAATTTGTTACAATATAATGTGCATATTAGCACTAAAATTATGATAAAAAAAAGTTTAATCAAATCACTAAAAGGTATGAATATTTGATCTAGAAAATTCAAAACTGAGGCGCTTATATCAAAAGATTCCTTTATTAAATAAGTGATTGTTTGAGCAATTGGAGACTGTAATTTAATACCTTAAGTTGGAGCTAACTTTTCCAAAGCTTAACTAATTAATTAACTCGGGCCTGGTAAGCTGAAGCTATCGTAGCTTTTTGAAGAGCTCAACTTAAAGAGGTAAATTTGAGGCAGATCCACACCTTATTGGGCTCCGGAATGGTAGGGTTTAGGGTAATGTTTTTTGCATTAGTAGTTTTAGTAATCCTTTCAATACTTTTTGTTTAAATTTAAAGCTGTAATACTCTGTTTGATTTCTTCTTCGCATGGGGAAGAAGGATCAATGAAATTGCAGACGCAGTGTTCCTCATTGTTTATACAAATAGATGGTTATGAATTTTAGGGGTGTAAATCTCTTTCAGAACAAATTCTTTTCCAAAAATCGAAATTTTTATTTGGGTAGTAATTCATGTCTTCAATTTTCATTCTCTCTCAATTTTAATTTTGATCACATATTTGCATTCAATTATTTTTTTTTAATAATTTTGATGGACTTCTTGCACAGCAAATTAACTTCCTCTGGAATTTTTTTGAACATTTCGTTGAATTGTCGGCCATGTTTCAAATGTGAACGTGTTGCCTCATTTCATTTTATGGTTTTAGTTCATAATCAACTAATTCACTAATTTAATTTCCTCTTCAATAAAGGAAGCATTTCCAAGCTTCCACCAACGAAACTCGAGAAAAAAGCAACTATATATTAAATGACCTTGAAGACGATTCGAGTGGAGGACCAAACAGTAACAATGGACATTGTAATTTTTGTCTCAACTTTTAAATGACCTTAAAGACAATTTGTGATGTAAAAAAAGCTTTTCGCATGCGCATAACTCTACGTACTTTAATTGTTTCCTTTGGGTTGTGCTTTAATTAATTTTGTTTCCCTTGGGTTGTGCTTTAATTTTGTTTGGCTTGGCTTCAGATTGTTGTATTACATAATCTCAGTTTACTATCTATTATTAGAGTTAGTGAGATTACTCTCAGCGGTTCATCTTCTATTGATCTTTATGTCAGTAAACACTATGCCTTCAAACATTCGGACTTTTGATACAACAACTTATTTTCAAAGATGAATATGATAATGATCCCAAGTAGTGGAGAGTTGATTGGGATTTCCCTCTTTTCAATATCTAATTGGGTTTTTTTTAGTAACCAATTTTTCACGGCTTCATTCTTTCCTGTATCTAATTGGGTTTCTTTACTTTTTCTTTTAATGACTTTTCTGATCTTAATTCTTGACAGGTATGTTTTTCCTTTCAACAACTCCTCTGCAAATTGTTGAGTTCTTGAATGACTTCCATTATTGCTTCACAGGTACTCATTGTTTCTTTGCAGATATATGATCATTTCAAGCTTTGCAAATTTTGTGGTGATACTATTCGGTAGGTTCTTAAAATTTTTCTTTTTGTTCTTCATTTTTCTTTCCCCGAAAGGTGATTCAATTACAGAAGCTGTGCATATAACTGTCAAAGTGGCTTTCGAAGAGAAAAAGACTATTCGGTAGCATATATAGAACAAAGGGTTAGTTCTGTCTGTTTATCACATATTGAAATGCAACTGGGAAGTTATGATAAAAGGTTGTGGGAGTTTGAAACTAAACGGAACTGCTATGCAGTTTGAAAATTGAACGTGGTTATTCTTTCTCCACGTAATTTTTCTTGTCTCTCCTTTTCTTTCCAATTCCTCTTTTTCTGAGAGTGGTGTTTTTAATTATTTGTAATGTTTTTTTTTATAGATTTTTTATTATTAAGAGAGAAATGCATCCGGAATTATAGGCCTAGCAAGTGCAACGTGCGAATGGAGTGGAGTTTAACTGTTTGTATTTATCATTTGTTTTTTCTTCTTTGTTTTCTCACCAACTCTAACTGTAGATAGTAAGCTGAAATTATGCAATATAAATATAATAATGACATGTAATTTAGCTTAAGGTGGTTATTGATCAAAACACTATAATCAAATTTTAAAAAGGCGCAGATGTTTAATCTAAATGATATAGAAAAATGGTAAGAAATTCTAATTTTCCTAAAAATAAATTGAGAAATAATATTCCAATTTCACAAAAGGCAGCCGCAACTCACTTTTTATTTTAATTTTTAATTAAAAACAGAAAACCAGAAAAACCAAAAAAAGTATTTTGAAATGCTATGAAAATTTGCTAGGAGATGGGTCCAATGAGAAAATAATTGAAATAATTGATATTTAATATCTCTTTAAACTTTATTACCTAAACTATCCTCACAAATCTAATTTAATATGTAAATTTATCTTTACACCTAGGGGTGGGCAGCCTTCAGGTTGGGGTCAAGTTTTTTGTTTACTTAGTATCTGTTGGTCTTTTATTGTCTTGCATGTTTTGTAATTTTATTTGCTGCAGATTAGCTGCAGGCATTTACTACCCTTGAGTAATATTATCAGAATGAGAAGGCATTTGTTGTCTTACTGGGGTGTGATGTACTTTGCAAGCTTGAATATGCACATTGACCTTGCATCCAAGAAATTTTTGAAATGGTTTGAAATTGAAATGGTTTCGATATGCCTTTATCAAACTGACTCGAAATACTGAAATTATTTCAGTTTACCAAATTTTGGGAAATGAAAAATTACAATTCGATTTCGATAGAAATTTTCAATTTCCAAACTTGTTGGTTCAATTTTCGATTTGGGATTTTCAGTTCGGTTACCGAATCGTAACCAACCCTACAAAAAAACCTGACCAGTTTTATTTATTTTGTAGGTTTTCTAGTCAATTCCTCCTTGGTGAAAAATTTTCATTCACATGTTTTGTTTCAAAATTTACCAATTCATTATGAATCATTACAAAGGACGCATGAATGTTATCTTAGTGCAGATGATATATTAATGACAACCCATAATAATGTTGACGACTCACAAAGAAGTTGCTCGGGGCAATCCAGACGAGCCCAGCTCTTCTCGAAACCGCCATCTCTGTCATCCAAGGCTTCTTTCCCGTGAACAGGAAAACCTATGCGTCGTACACTTCTGCTTGATACGGACCTGCACTCTGCTCTACTCAAATGTATGGCTGAAGATGTATTTCTTATTACAATTCTCAACAATTACAACAACCCTTCCTTCTTACAAATCTTCCCTTTTATAGTAGTTACAAGGCTTCTCCTCTAAGTCACTCTTCTAACCACTTTAACAGCTAACTATTTGTAACTAATTCTTGTTTGTCCTAGTCAGCAATTGCCAACTCATCACTATAATTCCCGTCCAATTGTCACAATACACAATCACCTATCAATACCCGCCTCAAAACAGGGCTTGTCTACAAGACTGAAACGCACAACAGTACACAACTCAATATGAATGCTAGACATCATAACTGGGATACCATAGGAAATCGGGACTTCAAGTCGACATAATCCTCCCTAGTTGCATCGGCTGGAGCATGATTCTTTCACTGAACTAATACCTCGGTTGATGCAATAGTCCCCATCTTGACTATCCTCTGCTCTGTTAGAAACAATCAAATGTTAAGTATATATTATACAACAATTTGCACAGTTTTATTTCGAATGGTAAAACTCAGCAACAAATACAATATATTAAAACATAAACACTTAGTGTAATTATATATAAAATCACAAATCACTGACTTGTTCTTTGACGATAGAGGCTTGCAGAAGCAATCTCCTAAGACAGAAATTCGTCCCTACACCAGTGCAGCAGTTCGATGGACGTCTATCTTGCAGGATACAACTATCTAATCCAAGTTCTTGCACTCGAACTTGGATTCTTGGCGAATTGGTTGTGTGTGTTTCTGGAAAATATGGAGGGAAGGGAGACGAAAATTCATTGCCTTTGTTTCTGATTTTATTGCCATATTTATAATGGCATAATTTGAACGAACACAACCGTTCATGCTTATCAGTTCTTTAAAAGGAAAAACCGAATGCAACTGTTTAAAAAAAAACTGAACGTAACTGTTCAATTAGTTTTATCCTTTCGGAAAAACTGAATCCAAAAAATCAAAAATGTAACTTGTGTTTTTCGTCCATCCAAGCCTCAAGGCCCAAGGCCCATCTTTGACATTTAATATATACACCCAAACTCCCCAAGTCTAAGGCCCAAGGTCCATGGCTTTGGCCCAATTCAATTCAAACTATAAGTGAGTGAACTCACTTATAAAGAGTAATTGTAAAAAGTGTATGGGCGATGTGGGACTGGCAGTCCCACATAAACACAGGTTTCCAACATGCTCCAATATTGCTACTGGAACTTCTTGCAATATGCCGGCATCGGTGATAACTGAAGACTGGAGAGTAGGTTGAATGTGAGGATCCAGGTGCTTCTTAAGGCAGGAAACATGAAAGACAGGGTGTAATTTCGAATTCTCTGGTAATCGGAGTTTATAAGCAACTGGTCCAACCTTTGCCAACACTTCATATGGTCCATAGAATCGAGGTTGAAGCTTGTGAAATGGATGTGAAGCCAAGGATGAATGTTGATATGGAACTAGTCTCAAATACACCAAATCACCCACTTGGAAGACCCGCTCGGTTCTATGTTTGTTAGCTTAATAGTCATTCTATTCTGAGCAACCATCAAATTTTCCTTTAAAAGAGATAAGATTGTGTTTCGCTCCTGCAAACACCTATCAACTAGATCAAGTTTTGTAGTACCAGCCTCATAAACTGGTATTGCTGAAGGTGGTTGCCCATAAACCACCTCGCAGGGACATAGCTTGGTGGTAGAGTGGAAGGTCGTGTTGTAACTATACTCTGCCCACGGTAACCAAGTCAACCACTTATTGGGCTGTAGGCTGCAAAAACACCTCAAATACGTTTCCAAACACCTGTTAACCACCTCTATTTGCCCATCTGTCTATGGATGATAAACCGAGCTAAAACACAGGTTTGAACCTTACAGTGCAAAAAATTCCTTCCAAAATTTGCTCATAAAGATGGGATCTCTATCGGACACTATTGAAGTAAGCATTCCATGGAGTTTAAAGATGTGTTCAACAAATAGATTCGCCACCGAGACAGCCGTGTAAGGATGGGAAAGGGCAAGAAAGTGAGCATACTTGGACAACCTATCTACAACTACCCAAATTACAAATTTACCTTTGCAAGGTGGTAATCCCACGATAAAGTCCATTGAAATGTCGGTCCACACTCGAGAAGGAATCGGTAATGGTTGGAGTAATCCCGCAGGAGCCAATGTCTCATATTTTTGTTGTTGACAAGTTGCACAATTGGATACAAATTCCTTGATATCCTTTTTCATGCCAACCCAATAAAAAGACCGAGATAGTCTTTTATAGGTTTTAAGGAATCCAGCATGTCCAGCAATAGCACTACAATGATGTTCTTCAAATACCTTATGCCGTCATGCACAAGTGGGACTCAAAACTATTCTATCTTTGTATCTCAAGAATCCATTGTCAAACTTGTATGTCAATTTATAACTAATTCCTTTTTTTTTTTTTTTTTTTTTATGGCTTTAATTTCTGAATGCGTGTAAGAAATCGAGAATGGGAATGCAATCTTCACCACAAGCAACCACAACCCTAATTAATTCCCCAAATCAAATCCAGCAAGTGATCCAATTTAATAACCCTCTTCATTCCCAATCCCCCCACCCTCTCCATCTCTCTATAACGTTGATCTTTGTTTCCAATTCGATCCAATTGCTCTATTTGGGTGTTGTGTGAGTTTAGAGATCATCCATGAATTGAAAGCTCAATTGATCCTTTCAAGCTTCCAAGGTGTGTAGCTCAATTGGAGTTTTTATACGGAGTCTCAAACAACAAAATTTGAAGAAATAAAGCGTAGAAAATGGAAAAGTATGAGCTTGTTAAGGATATTGGATCTAGGAATTTTGGGGTGGCCAGGATTATGAGGAACAAAGAGACCAAAGAGCTCGTCGCCATGAAATACATCGAACGCGGCCACAAGGTCCTTACTTACTTTTCCCTTTTTTTTTTTTTTTTTTTTTTTTTTTTATTTCAATGTAATTTCATATCACCTTTTACTTTTTTTTTTTTTGCCTTAAAGTTTAATTCTTTTAGAATTATAAACCTCATATAGCTAGAATTTTTCCATTTCGGAGTTGGTACTTAGAAAAAGCTAGAATTTTTCCATTTCGTTCAATGAATCCATAAGAAACAGATTATTTTGTTATTTTCATATGATTATATGTGTATGTGGTTAACTGTTTGTTTCATTGCTTGGTTGCAGATTGATGAGAATCTGGCAAGGGAAATCATAAACCATAGATCGCTTCGCCACCCAAACATCATTCTGTTATTGTTATTGGACCCGTGGACCCAACCCAAACCGGCCCGTTTCAAACGGGTCAGGTTAGGTTCGGTTTCAGATTCTGAAATTTCATTATGCGGCCCGGCCCGGCCTGTTTCTTTTAACCTGGGTTCGGTCTGATCCCTTCAAAATTGGGCCCGGCTCGGCCCATGCCTAGCCTTAAATTCGGTAACTTGTAATTAGTTATTTCTCGAGTATGTTTTCCACTAATGGGTGTCTTCTTGCTCATATATTTTGCATATAACTCAGAGTCGTGTAACTCTGGCAATGAATGATCTCTTACTGGCAGACTATTCTGATTTCGAGATCAATGAGGTGTTAATTCACATGGATCCACACACTGCTCCAAGGCCGGATGGAATGCCCCCAATATTTTTTTTCAGAAGTTGTAGCCAATTGTTGGCAATGATGTAATATGTGTGGCCAAGTCATTTATCTCATCTGGGCATATTTTGAAAGAGCTCAATTATACTCTCATCTCTATAATTATGAAGGTAGTTGAAGTTCAGAACATGACGCAGCTTAGACCGATTGCATTGTGTAACGTTCTATATAAAATTGGTGCCAAGGTGTTAGTGAACCGTTTAAAGAGCATATTGGATTAGATTATTTCCAAGCAGTAAGGTGCCTTTGTCCCTGGTAGAATGATTTCTGATAACTCTGTTATTGCTTCTGAGGTTGGGCATTATCTTCACAATCTTCATCGAGGCCGGAATGGTTATCTAGCTTTAAACCTAGATATGAGTAAGGAATACAATCGAGTGGAATGAGGATTCTTGCATTCTATATTGTTGAAGCTTGGATTTGCTGCGAGTTGGGTTGAAACTGTCATGAATTGTGTATCCTCTGTCTCATACTTTTTCCTAGTTAATGGTGAGATTACAGGTTACATTTCCCCCACTCGTGGTCTCCGTCAAGGTGATCCGTTTTCCCCATATTTGTTTCTGATTTGTTTAGAGGGGCTCACAAGGCTGTTTGAATTTTTTTAGAGGTTTAGGCTTATTGATGGGGTCTTAATTTGTTGTGGGGCACCCACTATAACTCACTTATTATTTGCTGATGATAGTTTCCTCTTTCTCCGAGCATTTTTTCAGGAATGTTGGCATCTAAAGAATATTAAGAATATTTATGAACGTGCATCCAAGCAACGTATCAATCTGCAAAAGATTGTCCTGTCTTTTAGCCCCAATGTTTGTCGAGCCATTCAAGATCAACTTGCTCCTATATGCCTCGGGTGGATGTTCTGGACAAGTATTTAGGGCTTCTGATTGTTATTGGTCAAAGTCGTTTCACAAGATTTGCATACATTAAAGATAGGTTGTGGAAAAAACTTAAAGATTGGAAAGACAAGCTATTGAGTAGTGCAGGGAAGGAGATTTTTATTAAGGTGGTGGGTTTAACTCTCCCCATATATATGATGAATTGCTTTCTCTTGCCTAAAACCCTTTGTGAAGATCTTCAACGCATTCTCTGTCGATTTTGGTAGGGGGACCCTGGTGATTCAAAGAGTATTCATTGGCTTTCATGGGAAAACATGTGCAAACCAACATCTGAGGGTAGTTTGGGATTTTGATCTCTGTATGATTTCAATCTCGACCTTTTGGCTAAATAGGGCTGGAGACTGCTTCACAACTCGGATTCACTTACCTCTCAATTACTCAAAGTCAAATATTTTCCTCACAATTCCTTTTGAGATGTTACTTTGGGTTCCAGTCCGTCTCTTTGCTGGCGAGGGATTATGGAGGCTCGCATCGTTCTAGAGCGAGGGTCTCGTTGAAAGGTGGGCAATGGGTGTTCTATTTGTATTTGGAAAAACAGGTGGCTGGATCGTCTGCACTTGTTTCGGCCTTTATCATCACCCCCATCCAATGGTGAATCAGAATTGGTCTATTCCTTAATCTTGCTATCGCTGGCTTCCTAAAATGATCAGTTACTATTGAATATTTTCCCTCTTAATGAAGCTTTGATAATTTTCTCCATCCCGCTAAGTTTGAGATTGCCCCAGGACCGTTTGATATGGCACTACGATGCTAATGGAGTTTTCTCTGTTAAAAGTGCGTACAAGGTTACTCGTGGTTTGGTGAGTGAACCTTTTTCTTTTCACGATGGGGCTTCGAACTCTCTATGGAATATTATCTGGAAAGCAAAGGTTCCGAATAAAGTAAAATTGTGTGTTTGGCAAGCTGCTTAGAACATTCTACCTACTCGTGCCTGTTTAGTTAACAAAGGCATTGCGGTGGATGACATTTGTGTGTTATGTAGTTCCTCTTCGGAGTCGGCGTTACATGTGTTTTACTGAATGTCCATTTGCAAGAGTCGTTTGTTTGTCTGCCAACATTGAGCTTGGACCACACTGCTCTTCTTTCTCTTGCTTCTTAGAGTGGCTTAGTTATCGTGCTGCTGTCTTCAAACATGGTCAATTTGATCTTCTTCTTGTCTTTATCCATTTTATTTGGCATTCTAGGAATTCCCTTCTTTGGGATGATAAACAGGAGAACCCCATTGTGGTGAGTAGGTTGGTGGGCCTTTTCCTATCGCTTTTGTGTCTACATAATCCCAAACTGTTTATTGCCCCCTTCTTTCTCTTTCTCGGTGGCCTCCGTCACCGCCAAACTCGATTAAGATTAATGTCGGTGCTTCATTTTGCAATATAGGAAATAACTCAGCTTACTTCTAAGTCCATGTAAAGTTCATCCTTCCATCAATATGAGATTCATTCTCAACATTTCAAAGCTTCAAACTTTTCATACGCAAAATGAGTGATGGTGAGACCCACTTTCAACCTATTACCATCTACTATTTCCTTATCACGTTACCGTTTTAATGAAAAAGCACTTGTATCATTGGATGATAAAAGTAGTGAAGACATATCATATTATTTCAAATATTTTATTTTAATGCGCAAATGTGGTTTGGTCTCTTTAACTTTTTATTATTTTTTCTTTCTCTACCCAATTGCTATTCTCTATGAGATTTGAAATACTGAACACTTCTTGTAATTAGATATAAATTAAGTGCTACTAACATGGTTCTAAAAAATGTTAGACACTAGTCGGGTGGCGAGCTGGGGCCTAGTACCTAGGAGGACTAGGCAAATTTCGATTTATAATATAACTATATAATTACTTATTTTATGTATATAATACGATAGTCTAAGGAAAAAGGCCATTATTTAAATAATTCATATAACATTTATATGTAACATATATAGATATATATATATATATTTATTTATATCCCCACCTTTTTAAAAGATAGCAAGACCATGCAGTGGGTGGTTTCAAAATTAAAAACCGGGTTCCACTCCACCTCTCTCACATTCCCCAAGGTGCAGCCCAGATCAATACCACATTTTGACCCATTGGAAAGTGAAAATAACATTTCCATTAAACCCTTTCGTTTCTTCTTCTTCATTAGCCCTTTCAGCAACTCAAACTAAATCTGCAAGACTGCAACTCGCGCCGCCGAGGCTCTCTCTTTATTTGTACTCTCTCTTCCCTCATCTGCTCATAGACGACAAGCTTCAAAAGCTCGCCGAGACTTTGCATCTAAGTATGACATCGGAAGTTGCAGATTTGTTGCGAGAGTTGCAACGAGTTTGGGATTTGCAACCGCCTTGACTGCCGCCTAGCACCGCCTAGAACGCCTAACAAGCACCTAGGAGGCCTCCCCGCCTTAAGTGAACGTTTTGGTCGCAATCGAGTTGGGGATCCATTGTCCAACACCTAGGTTGCCACCTGGACCGATTTTTAGAACACTGGTTACTAGACTAAACGGTCTAATAAGTACTCTTCTTGATTTTGTGGACACGGAAACAAACTCAACAAATGAAATTTACTAATTAACATTCATGAACTCATTAGCAGTAGTTTATGTATAATTAATTAAGGGTCATTTTGGTTCCGATAAGCACAACTCTTAGATTAAAACCTTATTGTTTTTTCAGTTTTTTATTAGTCCTTTGACTTTGTACATCTCAACTTTTTTTCTTTTGGATATGCGATATTATCTACACTAATGGACTAGCAATAATGTAGTTCAAATTCGTCTTTGACGAGAACCGAACCTAAGACCTCTCGCTTATAAGTGAAGAAAAATACCACTAGATCGTAGTACTAAGTGGATGTACACCTCAACTTTTTAGTATTACTATATTTCCATGTCATATTTTTCATTTCAAAATTTCTCTAATAAACAACATTTAAGGGATTGAAATCCAACAATTTATGTAATTCAAATCACAATAATTATTTTGTTAAAAAAAAAAATCACAATAACTATGAAATCAAGCAATTAAATCTATAGAAAACTTCATCCTAATCCTTGGTTGTCACATCCCAGCCCGGAGCGGATCACTTCCCGAGCCCATTCCACCACCGTAGCACGATATTGTCCGCTTTGGGCTTACCATTCCCTCACGGTTTTGTTTTTGGGAACTCACGAGCAACTTCCCAGTGGGTCACCCATCATGGGATTGCTCTAACCCCCTTCTCGCTTAACTTCGGAGTTCCCATAGAACCCGAAGCCAGTGAGCTCCCAAAAGACCTCGTACTAGGTAGGGATGAGAATATACATATAAGGATCACTCCCCTGGGCGATGTGGGATGTCACAATCCACCCCCCTTAAGGGCCCGACGTCCTCGTCAACACACCACGATCAGGGTTAGGCTCTGAGACCAAATTGTCACATTCCGTCCCAGGCCGGGATATGACATTGGTAAAGATGACTTTTAGACGAAAACCATGAGTAAGATCAAAGTATAATTTTAGTCTCTTGATACATTAATAATCTCATTTATTAATTACATTTTGATTTTTTAATAATTTTTTTTTCTCCCTAATTTTAATGTATTAATTTTTTTTCATTTCATTTATCGTAATATATTTTGTTGTAAACATTTAGATAAAATAATTTTTGTTATACATTAAATTCATTATAATACATTTCGGTGTATTCATTTAGGTACACACATTTCGATACAAACATTTGGGTACATTAATTCAATATAATACATTTTGATACTAACATTCCGGTGCATACATTTCGGTACATAATTTAGGTACATTAGTTTAATATAATACATTTCGGTGCGTATATTTCAGTATATATATTTTGGTACTAACATTTAAATATATTATTTCAATATAATACATTTCGGTACTAACATTTAGGTACATTAATTGAGTCTTTCAAATTTGAAGAATGTTAAATAAAATTAATAAATTAAAAAAAAACTATTTTTTGTCAAAAAATAAATTAAAATTTGTATGTTAATAAATTTAAATATTTAATGAGAGACATTAAATAAAATGCATATTAATTATTTTAAATTAAGGACACATCAAATGACTATAATCAATATGTAATCTAACACCAGATTTATTTTAAATTCAATATTCTTAAATGATTAAAGTTAAAAAACCCCTTAAATCTAAAACAAATTGTGAAATTTTAAAAATCCCGACGGTTATGTGATCATGATTTGCAATAAAGATTCGTGCAAATTTATTTGTGCAGTGATGAGGGAAATAATGTATCCCATTAAATTTATTATGGACACATGCAAAAGCAACGTACTCATGAACTTGACAAGTTAAAAAAGAGCAAATGACATAAAAAACAAGAATTAGGATTATCTCCCCTCATTTTCCTATCATATTTTCTTCCCTCCTCTTACATTTTGTATATTATATTTATCTTTCTATGTTAAATTAATCTAATATATTGACGTGATTTAACCGTAATTATTTAAATAGAAGGGGCGAGAAGGGGAGGGAAAAAAAAAAGGGAAAAAATCCTCCTCCAAAAAACCATGTACGTATAAACAACACATAATACCAAATGGATACACATTGAATTTACAAGAAATTATAGCTAATTCAGTGTACCCAAATAAAAAGCATAAGAGAAAAAACCTCATGGGTAAGTGGGTAACGCAAGGAAAAGAATCTACCATTGTAGGCACGCATATGGATACATAAAACGTAAACAATTTTACCAAATTTTCTCCAAAAACATTGTACCCGTATAAATATGTAAAACAAAACTTATTTTTTGAGAAATTTTGGTAAACGAAAAAAGTCAAAGTAACTTGATCTTAAATACTAAATAATACAAGCACATTTACAATTGTTAACTTGTGATTTCTTAAATACTAAAATAATGACGCTAACAAAAGTTAAAGTAATATGAAAATGAGGATGGGAACTTAATTTTTCTATTAATTAGTTAATTGAATAATGGGCGGATTTAGTAACATATATACTGTACATCTTACCCAAGATCCCAATTCAATGAATATGTGAAGAGATTTTTGCATATAAATATAAACAACACCTCTTCTCATATGCGTCTTATTCAAAATCAACAGACACATAAAAACATGAACAGCCTCAGCGTCTTTTCCATCCTTCTGGTTGTTCTCATCTTCAGTACTATTGGTAAATGCTTCTTCATCCATTTGGTTTTATATTCTTTTCCCCACTGTACACGTTAAACGGTTACGTTACATTCTCTTGTTAGGCTGTTTAACAATATAATTAAAAATCGCTTCGACAGCATAAAGATGAATAGGCCCATGCAGTTATATTAACGAAACATATATAATTTATATTAATGTGCACGTGTGGCTTGCACTTGCAGGAGATGAGGTTGTGGCGAGGCCGTATACAGGTCGTGCTTGAGGGAGAGTAGAGCCAGGGCCGGTACTGAGTTTTTTGAAGTCCTGAGCGACATTGAAAATTACGCCCTAACATAATTTTGTATAAAATAATTATTTATCTTGGTATTCGTATGTTGTACATAGAATATTAAAGAAAATAGACCTTTTGCATATTATGATTTTTTTGACAAATGATAGGATAATTTACACTAAACTCACCAGAAATACGGTGAGGAAATTCGAAAACGAGTCCTTGAGTAACAAGCTGGACACTTTTAACTAACTGATCTACAAGCTACTTGCACGTTATGAAACCT